AAGACTTACACATCCCCCTCCAAGACTTACAAATCCCCACCAAGACTTACAAATCCCCACCAAGACTTACAAATCCCCACCAAGACTTACAAATCCCCCACCAAGACTTACAAATCCCCCACCAAGACTTACAAATCCCCCACCAAGACTTACAAATCCCCCACCAAGACTTACAAATCCCCCACCAAGACTTACAAATCCCCCACCAAGACTTACAAATCCCCACCAACTTACAAATCCCCACCAAGACTTACAAATCCCCCACCAAGACTTACAAATCCCCACCAAGACTTACAAATCCCCACCAAGACTTACAAATCCCCACCAAGACTTACAAATCCCCCACCAAGACTTACAAATCCCCACCAACTTACAAATCCCCACCAAGACTTACAAATCCCCCACCAAGACTTACAAATCCCCCACCAAGACTTACAAATCCCCACCAAGACTTACAAATCCCCACCAAGACTTACAAATCCCCCATCAAGACTTACAAATCCCCATCAAGAAGCATAAATCCCCCACCAAGACGCATAAATCCCCCGCTAAGGCGCATCAATCCGGCTTGTATTTACCCTGGGCCTCGTGGGTGAAGTCTATGCCATCAGCGGGTAGCGCTGCGCAAGGCACAAACGATTTAGTTCACTTTAGCAAATTAATCTGCAAGATCTTTGCCGGCGGTCTGATGGTGAAGTTGAGGAGGTGTAATTATGGTGATGGTGAGGGGGGGGATGGTGAGGGGGGGGATGGTGAGGGAGGGATGGTGAGGGAGGGATGGTGAGGGGGAGGATGGTGAGGGGGGGATGGTGAGGGGGGATAGTGATAGTGAGGGAACTGTTGGGGGGAAGGGGGGGAGAGGTGTTAATGACAGCAATGTTGATGATAGTGAAAGTGATGATAATGGAAGTGATTGTGAGGATTGTGATATCCACAGGCGTACAGTTGATATCAAAAGAGATATCTGCATCTAAAATAAATTCAATTAACATCGAATATATATATATATATATATATATATATATATATATATATATATATATATATATATATATATATATATATATATATATATATATATATTACAGGAGACAGGTGTCAAATAGTCACCTGTAATATCACCTCGTTACAGCGACCGGCGCTGTAATATGTGCCCAATCACTACCGTTAAACCTCGTTAACCAATATTCTTTTTATTGATTACAGAAAATTTTGTTAACATTACCATACATTCGAGTAATAATTAATGACCATATATGGCGTATCCTAAGTTCATCATTCATATGTATTATTCATTTTATGCATGATTATTAGAGTGTATATTTAGCAGTCATTATTCATAGAGTTCTTGTTCATAGAGCTGCTCTCCATAGAGCTGTTGTTCATAGAGCTGCTGTCTATAGAGCTGCTGTCTATAGAGCTGCCGTCCACAGAGCTACCATCCATAGAGCTACCATCCATAGAGCTACCATCCATAGAGCTACCGTCCACAGAGCTACCGTCCACAGAGCTACCGTCCGTAGAGCTACCATCCACAGAGCTACCATCCATAGAGCTACCATCCACAGAGCTACCGTCCACAGAGCTACCGTCCACAGAGCTACCATCCACAGAGCTACCATCCATAGAGCTACCATCCATAGAGCTACCATCCATAGAGCTACCATCCATAGAGCTACCGTCCACAGAGCTACCGTCCACAGAGCTACCGTCCACAGAGCTACCGTCCACAGAGCTACCATCCATAGAGCTACCATCCATAGAGCTACCATCCATAGAGCTACCATCCACAGAGCCCATGTCAACGATGATGAATGTCACCTGGAAGTGAAAGCAACAATGCCATATCCGAGTCCCTATTGAAATAGTCTCCCTCTTTTGTCGCAATTATCTATAACGCACCAACTTGCATTCCTCGTATGCAAATGTTGCAGAAGCCAAATATAGCCGCCAAAATTCGCTTTGCAACCATGCAACATTCATGGGGCTTATGGCATAGATCCTCGACTCTCTAAACGACATTTCAAGAGACGAGGTGAAGCAATTTGATACGAAATTGTCATTCCATTCAGAGAGGCATCTATCCCCTCCTTCTTTTCCGCCTACAGAATGGGTCCCAACGCCTTCTATCCCATCTAGTCCGCTCCCCCGTCCTGCCGGACGTGACGTCACGCGGTTAACAGGACGTGCAATATGGTTTCAACTTTCCCGCCTAAACCTTTGTCTCATTCGGGGCCTCCGTCAATGCCATTTGATGCGAGTTTGTTTACTTTCCAACGTTACTTTGCAACAGATCAACATGGGAGATAAGCCCTGATCTCCATCTCTGGTGGGAGATAAGGGGGTGTCATTAGTGGGGTCCTGGGTGTTGGGGAATGAGCAGTTTCTTCGGTGTAACGATGCTAGAATGACCTTCCATTGTTGGGTGGTATCGCTGACGCCATCTCATCTGATAGTGGGGTGTTGACGGGTTGTGGTAACACTTTATTGTATTGTGAGTGATGTGTTTGGTCTCTCCAACACTGGTGGTGTGGGTGTTTCTGGGTCTGCAACACTGGTGGTGTGGGTGTTTCTGGTTCTCCAACACTGGTGGTGTGGGTGTTTCTGGTTCTCCAACACTGGTGGTGTGGGTGTTTCTGGTTCTCCAATACTGGTGGTGTGGGTGTTTCTGGTTCTCCAACACTGGTGGTGTGGGTGTTTCTGGTTCTCCAACACTGGTGGTGTGGGTGTTTCTGGTTCTCCAACACTGCTGGTGTGGGTGTTTCTGGTTCTCCAATACTGGTGGTGTGGGTGTTTCTGGTTCTCCTACACTGCTGGTGTGGGTGTTTCTGGCCCTCCAACACTGCCAGGGTTGGTGTGGGAAGGGAGAGAGAGAGAGAGAGAGAGAGAGAGAGAGAGAGAGAGAGAGAGAGAGAGAGAGAGAGAGAGAGAGAGAGAGAGAGAGAGAGAGAGAGAGAGAGAGAGAGAGAGACAGAGAGACAGAGAGAGAGAGAGAGAGAGAGAGAGGCAGACAGACAGACAGAGAGAGAGAACCCAGCACCACGGAAATGAGCAGGGCGTCAGAGCTGTTCCACCTGACACCCCCACACCGCCCATAACCGCCCATCCCCCGCCCACTCCCACACCCAACACCCATATAGATCAACACACCTCCATTGTTATCATAGCCGTGTGTCACGGAATGGGACCGAACAACACCACTTTGCAATACCTCGAGCTCCCATCCCTACATACAGAGTTGCCGTCGAAGCGCTTCGAACTCTCGCTCGAGTTATTCGAAACTTCTTGCAGGTAGGAAATGGATTTTAATAATGGCTTCCATCTCTTGCGATGGAGATTGAAGGCTTTCCAGCTTGTGTGAGAGAGATGTATGAGGCTTTTGTGCTCATCTATCCCCCCTTCCCCCCTCCCCCCTCTGTCAACTTCGCCAACAGGAAGATTGCAATTATGCCTTCTGCTTTTCTACATTTGTTGAATGAAGTTGCATTTGCATATGAAATCTCTCTGTTTGTTTTCTCGCTATGTGGATCTAGTGCAGCAGGGGGATGAGCTCTGGCTCTTTGGTCCCGCCTCTCAACTGTCAATCAACTGGTGTACAGGTTTCGGAGCCTATTGGGCTCTATCATATCTACACTTGAAACTGTATGGAGTCAGCCTCCACCACATCACTGCCTAATGCATTCCATTTGTTAACTACTCTGACACTGAAAACAGTCTTTCTAATGTGTCTATGGCTCATCTGGGTACTAAGTTTCCACCTGTGTCCCCTTGTTCGTGTCCCACCCGTGCTGAAGAGTTTGTCTTTGTCCATCCTGTCAATTTCCCTGAGAATTTTGTAGGTGGTCCAAGAGCTAATAGCTCGTTTTTGCAGATACAAATAGTAAATACACACACACACACACACACACACACACACACACACACACACACACACACACACACACACACACACACACACACACACACACACACACACACACACACACACCCACACACAAACACACCCACACACACACACACACACACCCACACAGGAGTCATTGCTGTAAACAACCGATGCTCGAAAGGCGGGATCCAAGAGTCAATGCTCGATCCTGCAAGCACATATAGGTGAGTACATATAGGTGAGTACACACACACACACACACACACACACACGCACACACCCACACACACACACACACACCCACACACACACACACACACCCACACACCTGAAAAACTGCCGTAACAGGTCGGGCGCGGCTTAAAGTTCACAGACTTAGCCCCCATTAACGAGGCCAAATTGGTCATCTCTGGCTGTAGTTAAAAGCAAGCCTGGAATTAAAATAAGAAAGGTTAAATCCTCTTTGTTGTTTGTTATGAATCAGAGAGGATACGCCATGACCTGTAACCTGTCGTCGGCTGTAGGAGGTCAGCGGAAGACGCAGGGGGGATAAGTGGTGGGAGGTCTGAGTCGTCCTTTCCCCTACCTCCATCCCCCCTCTCCTCTCTCTCTCTCTCTCTCTCTCTCTCTCTCTCTCTCTCTCTCTCTCTCTCTCTCTCTTTTTCTCGCTGTACCTCCATCTCTAGCCCTCACTCTCGAGGGGAGAGGGATAGGGGAAAGAGTAGGTTAGAGAGGTAGGTAGAGAGACAGGAAGCACAGTGTGACGCTGGTGGAGTGGTGGGGGGTGGGTCGTGTGTTGATGAGTGGGCCTTGACGGATACCTGATGACATCCTGATCTCATATATTTATCTTTTATGCGAAAGAATTGCAGTAGATTTTAATGGAAAATTTTGGGATGATCAGCGCTTAAAATTTTATGATTTGTGCATAAAAATTATAATAATAATAATAATATGTGTATGATATAATACCATTTTTATGAATTTGCAAATTGTCTTCTCCTACCACCCGTATTAATTAATTTATTTATTTATTTCCTTGAGCTCCTTGTTGGAGAGTAACCGAAGAACTGATTGGAAATTGTGCCTCTGAACTGCCTGACTGAGGCAATGGAAATGGAAGTTTTGTATCAATTAGTTTGAAATTCAGATTCCTGAGGGACTCCTCTCCCAGGGTCAAGTGCCTTAACTTAAGATGCTACTCAAACAAAGTTATACCGAAGCTTTAGCTCGCTGAATATATTGGGCTTCAATGAGAGAGAGAGAGAGAGAGAGAGAGAGAGAGAGAGAGAGAGAGAGAGAGAGAGAGAGAGAGAGAGAGAGAGAGAGAGAGAGAGAGAGAGAGAGAGAGAGAGAGAGAGAAAGAGAGACAGAGAGAGAGAGAGAGAGAGAGAAAGATTAGGGGAAGAAGAGCTAATCAATCAACAATGGAGCAGATTTTCCAATCAGGAAAATCCTACCAACACCTAATCCTTGATAATTTCCAGGAAAACGTCCTGTTTACTGAACTCCAAATGCCTTAAAGGTACAATCTTCACCGAACATGTTATACCACTCACCAAAATAGGCCTACCTTCCCATAGCCCACATCATGAAACTCATCAGAAGAAAACAAACGATTTCTTGGGAGATCTGAATGCAAAACAGACGGCCTTGGAACACGAGAGAGCCAATCAGGTAAGGGAGAACCAGTCAGGTAATATTGCCATA